CATTTACTAATACTAAGTAAAGATTACTTAGTATTAGTAAATTCTGCCCCTACTCGCTATGCAGCTGTAGCGTTACTTACCTTATCCAGGGGCCGGCCGCGGTCCTCTCTTCGAGCCGCGCGTGGTCCTGCTGCTGCACGAGCCGCGCGCGGCTCATCCGACAGCTTCAATAGGAAGGCGGGCAGTGACCGCGAGAAGCGGTCACGTGTCCCGCCTGAATCTAAGAGCGCGCCGCGAGTCTCGGGCGCGCTCTTAAAGAGACAGTGGGAGCCTAAATTGTTAAAAGGCTCCCATTGGCCCCTGTCATGCCACACTCCCCATACACTTACCTTTTTGGGGTGTGGATGTGACAGGAGCCAATCACATTAGTTTATAAGCTATTTAAACTTACCTCTCCCTTTACTCCCTGCCCTATCGTGGTTTCTGTTTCAGTTCCCTTTAGCGCTTGTTGTGTTCAGTTGTGTTTTCTCCGTATTGACTTTGGCTTTGTTTCTGACTACGTTTTCTCTTTATCCTTATCTGTTCTGGTTTTGCCCGACTTGCTGTTTTACTGTACCAGACTGGCCTAATGAATCCTAGTTCACGCTGTCTCTCTGTGCCCTTGACTTGGATGCGTTCCTGACTCTGTCTCCTCATATGCATTCAGTCGGCCATTCTAAGGTCGGTATCTCAATGTTGTCTTCTGTTGGCTGAATCCTGGTGTTGGGGTATATTCATTTACAGCAGCAGGTAGGGCATGTCCAGTGGCACTCACTGTAAAAAACACACAAAAAAAACAACCTATTGGCTCCCACCCCTGTGCGACGGGTGGGGGCCATAAATTACAATGGGGGGAGGACCGGGGCGGTGGGTGGGGGTCATAAAGATAATGAAGGGGGGGGACCTACTGTCCTCCCCCCGGCCCCCACCCCTGGGCGACGGGTTGGGGCCATAAAGATAATGAGGTGGGGGGACCTACTGTCCTCCCCCCGGCCCCCACCCCTGGGTGGCGGATGGGGGCCATAAAGATAATGAGGGGGGGGACCTACTGTCCTCCCCCCCCACCCCCACCCCTGCGCGGTGGGTGGGGGCCATAAAAATAATGAGGGGGGACCTACTGTCCTCCCCCCTGGGCCCCCACCCCTGTGCGGTGGATGGGGGCAAATAAATCACAATGGGGGGAACCTAAGGTCCTCCCCCCTGGCCCCCACCCCAGAGCGGCAGGTGGGGGCCCTAAATACTATAAATGGGGGGGACCTAGTGTCCTCCCCCCTGACCCCCACCCCTGAGCGGCGGGTGGGGGCCCTAAATACTAAGGAGGACCTAGGGTCCTCCCCTGGCCCACACCCTGAAGGCGGCGGTGGGGCCCCAAAATGTTGGGTGACTGGGGGTTCCCCAAACCCCTAGTGCCCTCCCAAAATTAACTACACCCCCTCACCTAAAATAATGAGGGCCTTCTTTAAGTACAAAATTACCATTCGATGTTTTCTTTCTTCTAAATCTTCTTTTTTCAGCCCCAAAAAAGGCCAAATAAAAAACCATAATAACCGACGCAATTAAAAAAAAAAAAAATAATCCATGTTCACCCGGTGAGGGCTCCGCCAATCAGAGTGCTCTGTGTCATTTTACACAGCGTGGGAAAGTTCTTTGGAATTTTCCCACGCTGTGTAATTTTACTCATAACACTCTGATTGGTGGATTAAGTGTGGGTGGGGGGGGTTGTGAAAGTTTACTCAATGATATGGAATAGGGGGCGGACAGAACATCGCATATGTTCGCCCGCCACTGTTCGGGACATCTCTATTACATAATAACTATCATCTGTTCCTTAGCGGGTCTCATGAACAACAACACGTTTACATATCACACCATGTCATTATTTATTTCACAAATATAAATCCAAAATGGAGAAGCCATGTATGATAAACAAAATACACCCTTACTACCTCTATAGGCATTAAGAGGCTAAGTAGCAGACAGGTGCTGCTAATCAAATGCCTTTGACGAATTGATCATCAGCAAGTGTGAACACCCCTATAAAAGCCAACTTTTGAGCAGTTTGATGGTCTGAAGCATTCAGGTGTGTGTTAATGCAATTCCAAGAAGGAAAGACGTCCGCAATAATCTTAGAAAAGCAACTGTTGCTCCCCATCAAAATGGGAAGGGTTAAAAGGCCATTTCCAAACAATTTTTTAAATCCATAATTATACAGTGAGAAAAATTATTCAAAAGTGGAAAACATTTAAGACCATTGCCAATCTTACCAGGAGTGGGTGTCCCAGCAAATTCACCCCAAGGCCAGACCCTGCAATGCTCAGAGAAATTGCAACAAAAAAAAACAAGCGTTACATCTCATACTCTATGCACAATGACACATTTGGTGACAACCAAACCCAGCATATCAACATAAGCGCCTTATACCAACTGTCAAGCACAGTGGTGAAGGGATGATCATTTGGGCTTGTTTTGCGGCCACAGGACCTGAGAACCTTGCATTTATTGAGTCCACCATGAACTCCTCTGTATACCAAAGTATTCTAGAGTCACATGTGAGGCCATCTGTGCAAGAACTAAAGCTTGGCTAATAGAATCAAGGTGTTGCAATGGCCCAGTCAAAGTCCAGACCTCAACTAAATTGACCTTAAAGGACCACTCTAGGCACCAAGACAACTTCATTTCAATGAAGTTGTCTTGGTGCCAGGTACCTCTAGTTTTTTTGTTTTTTTTTTAAATACACTGCCGTTTCAGAGAAAAAGCAGTGTATTTTTTTTTTCCCTATTCCCACCTACAGTGGCTGTCTCTGAGACAGCCACTAGATGGTGCTTCCTGAATCCTCACTGTTAGAATCACAGTGAGCTGACGTCAGACGTCCTCTTGGACGTCTAACGTCATTCCCTCTAATGCAGGCAGCTCAGATGTGAGCGCGCCTGCATTAGAGACTATGCTGAGATGTGAACGCGCCGAGCGCGTTCACATCTCAGTTTTATTCCTCGGAGGCCAGTGTGTGAGAAAGAATCTCTCACTGAAGACGGAGTACAGAAGAAGAAGCAGCATCTCCCCTAACGGAATCTGGCTGCACATTGACTGTAAGTAAACTTTTATCCTATTTGTATTTTATTATTAATGTAATGTCTTTGTATTGTTTTTATTTTTTAATTTTAGTTAGTCATTTGTTTAATCTTAACTTTATCTGTTTGTATTATTTTAAAAAATCTAGATTTGTTTACATATGACATGTAATCTATTTTACTATTTTAACTTTTATTTTTGTTTACAGTTTGCTATTTAATTTTATATATATTTGTTTTTATGTGTGTTTATATGTATTTGTTTATATATGTATTTTTTAATATATGTATTTTTTTATATATGTCTTTTTTAATATATGTATTTTTTTATAATTTTTTTATATATGTATTTTTTAATATATGTATTTTTAAAAATATTTTAGGAGATATTTTCTATGTATTTATTGATTTTATTAGTATATGTAGTTGTATGTCTGCATACATTGTTTTCGTTTATTATTTTACATATGTCGCACCAAAAACAATACATTGCAGACATACATACAGTCGTGTGTATGTGTATATATATATATATATTTATATGTGTGTATGTATGTGTGTATGTGTATATATATATATATATTTATATGTGTGTATGTATGTATGTATGTGTATATATATATATATATACTAATATATATATATATATATATATATATACACTTAGAATTGTGTGTGTGTATATATATATATTTTTTTTTATATATAGAAATTACAACAAATTAATTTTTAAAATAATATTGTTCTTCTTTTCAATTTCAGAACGCAGATTTACGAATCGTTCAAAGCGCAATTGAATTTGTGAAAAATTCAAAGTGGTTACGGTAAGTTTTAATTTGTCTATATTTTTGGGTAAAGTTTGCCTGGCTCTCTTTGTCTTATTGTATGCTTATACATATCGGATAAAGAGATATCTATGCAAAAGGTTCTGGTGCTGAAATACATTTCTCTATATTGCCACAGTTTCACTGTTGCTCAGCACGTGAAAAGTGCTGCCCAGGATTTTTACTTTTCCTTTCTTGGGGCTGCATTTTTCGCCTGCTGGCACACAGTCAAAATCATGTTTATGTATCCAACTAATCTTAAACA